CCATGATTTTCGATCCACCCTCGACAGCGTTGTCGACGGGACAAGGTGTTGGAACCCAGATATCGAAAACAGGAGGGAGAATCAGATCAGAAGTGTGTTGCAGGACACCTGGTGGAAGAAGAGTAACGATAGGGAGCCAATATGAGAACGAGTTCCTCAGCAGCACATCAGTGATCATCAGCTTGAAGATTCATCGCATAATATGACACCGCACATGTCTGTTCAGAGTGGAGTAGGCATTTTACGTGGATCCCTGGCCTGTCGTCTCTGTCTGCCTTGCCGTCAGGAGGAGTCGCCCAGCCTTCAGCCTCCTGTCGCAAGACCCGTACGAGGCATCCAAGCCATCCAAGCATGCGGGGAATCTAAATAGCGCGTCGAACAACCAATAGCACACTTCTGTGGACTCAATCGCCTTCCATAAACATGTGGAAGAGGTCAATAAGCTTGGTGCGTCGTCATCCCGCCTATGGCTCTGCCGTGTCTGACCCCCAGTAGAGTGGGCCGCCCGAGTTTCGGGGTTCAAAAATTGCCCGTCCCAAGACTTCGGTTCTTGTAACGCCAAGACCGTTCATCACCGATGACGGCCGATGGTGGAGTCAATGTCGGCGGCCTCATTGCTGTGAACTGATCAATCGTTCGCTGGTCCCAGGGGTCAACCTTTTCTTCTTTACCGCGACGACAGGTTCTTCACTGTCACTTTTGGTACGGGGGCGGAATTTTTTTAACATCCGTCGCCCGCCCCGCCAACCACCAGGTCTCACACGTCTTGCCCAGCCCCTCCTCGGGACACATCAATACTGAATCCGGAGCCCTGAACTCTGTGTGTTTCGTGTCTTGGCATCTGTCTGGCATCAGGAATGAGCGACACGGACGGTGAGAATGACGCCGACGCTGGTTCGAACCAGGGGCCGCCATCAAGCGGCCGAAAGGTCGCCTGCAGTCAATGTCGGCAACGAAAGGTCAAGTGTGACCGCGAGCACCCCTGTCTTGCGTGTTTAACGGTAAGCGAGAATACGATCAATTCAACCCCATGTTTTTGCTTGGTGACACTAATAATCTCGTGGCAGACTGGTCGGGATTGTACCGTTCCCCCTGCCCCGGGTCCGCGACGGCCCAGAAGGCAGAACAACCATGTGCTCCGTGCAAAACTCGAGAGCCTCGAGTCGCTCCTTCAGCAATGTATCGAGTCCCAACGCACGGATGTTGAAAAGCAGGCCCCCGAATCGGCCGGTCCAGTTGACCTTCCCCCAACGGCGCCTCAACCTACAGAGAGCGGTGACGAGGCGAAACAGCCGAAGGGTTACCTCGTGCAGACACGTAGTGGCGGCGTTGAATTCCGCAGTGGGAAAATTTCCTCGCTCGTCTTTCATGATGTAAGTTGGCTTTCTGCTCGGCACACCATTAGGCTCACGCAAGGTGCCAGCTGCAAACGATCAAAGCTGTCCTCCAGGTCGAGGCCGAACAGGGCGCGTGGTTACCGTTCTTTCCATCGCAGACATCCAGTCAACTCAGTGGTGACACACTGACAGTGAGAGAATGTATACCGACGCCCAACGAGGTCGTTTTGCTCTGGGGCATCTTTCTCGACAGGGTCGACCCCGTCACAAAAATCATCCACGTCCCGACATTCAGCGCCCGAATCGTCGACGCCGCCGCCAACTTTGGCAAGATGGCTCTGCAGATGCAGGCCCTCATTTTCTCTCTTTTCCTTGTTGCCTCCGGCTCCTTGTCTCGGCAGGAACATCACAATCTCTTAGGAAGAACCAAGCGTGACACCATGGCTACGCTGAGCCGGGGCTTCAAAGCGACAATGACGCAGCTAAACTATGTCAGAAAATACAATTCTGAGGTTCTGAGTGCCCTCATATTCTACTCGGTAAGCTCACCTGAGACACTCGACACTGGGAAAAAAACATGCGGGGCATCTGCACTAACCATCATCTCTGTCATCAGCTCGCGCGGCAGGGCGCTCAGCGACGGTCTTGCGACCCATGGGTTCTGCATGGCCTCATCGTCAACATTGCCTACAGTCTCGGTCTTCACATTGATGGCGAAGGTACAGGCCTCTCGCCTTTTGAGAATGAAATGCGGAGGCGCCTGTGGTGGCAGGTGGTGGAACTCGATGTTAAGCATACAGTAGCTGCAGGCGTTGGGACGTTTCTCATGCGGAAGCTCTCAAGCACCAAGCTCCCCTCGAATCTCGATGACCGCGAACTCGACCCCGACATGGTTACGCTTCCCCAAAGCCACATCGGACCGACTGGCATGAGCTTTTGTCTGACAGCGTATGAACGCTGCTTCTGGGTGGCCGGCAAGCTGCAGCAGAACGAAATCAACCTCATCGATGAGCTAATCTTTTCCGACCCCACCCGGGAAGTGGACGAGGCGGCTACCCAAAAGCGTAGTGACGCGCGAGACTGGGTTCTTGATCTTATGGCCACATCAGCACGAGACCTGGGACCCATGGCGCGGCAGCGATGCCCAGACATGAGCAACCCCTTACACGCTATGATCACGCAAACAATGGCAAGCCTAGAAAGTATATTACTGGCACTGATCATGCCTATGCAAGAGACGCCCGAATGGGGAACTGAGGTTCACGGGCCAGCAGATAACCTCTTCCGCATTAGCGTGGTGGCCCTCGAGTTTGCTCAACGTGAACAGCAGGACTTTGGGCATCGCTTTCTCTGGTACGCAAATATTAGTTTCACGCTGGATGGACTGTTCTATGTTATCGCTCAGCTACAAGAGCGCGTGTCCGGCTCACTGGCTGATAGAGCATGGGCGTGCATCGAGAAGGCATATGGATACCACGAGGAACTGTGGGATCTGGACGATAAGGAGACTATGACGCTGGGCAACCTAGTTATTGTTGCTTGGGATGCGCGACAGACACACTTTGTCCGTAGACGGATACCCTTCCCGGAGCCGCACTTTGTGACGACTCTGCGGGAAACGGTGATGATGATGAAGGTGCAGGCAATGAGTCTGCTGGCGGAAGTTTAAGGGTATCATGGCATGTTCACCGCCAGTATAGTGAAGAATTGGGCCAGCACGGCATTGGGCCCAAAGCCAAGGGCTATTATCACAAGGGCATCAGCTAGTATATGAGGACTCCCAGCCTACTTATGCGTAATCGACCACCGGGCCCAGCAGGGAGACAAGCATGCATTTTGATCATCGGACCCAAGATCTTTGTCACAATAAATACATCAGTTTCCAATTGCATTTGCCCTTCTTCGGTAATTTAACACCCGCGTGATACCAAGACGGCGTGACATGGCATGCTTTTTTTGACTGCTCAACAGATTCGCTGGTGTTGGGACAACAATGATTGAGCGCACCATAGATATTTCAATAATCTTCTAACGATGGATATAGGCCTCCCTTGAATTCGAGTCGCAGTAACTTTTAGCCAATGTCGCCAAACATCATACCAAGCTTCGGGTGTAGGGCGTCTGGAAAGACCTACGTTAACGATAAGAACTCTCTTCATACAAGATAAAGGTAGAGACTGTTCAATAGGTCTATCGGTATACAACGTGTAAGACTTGCAGAGGAACGCTGCCAAACAATGCACTGGACGGTTGGATTGAGGTGCAAAAAAAGGACAATGAAAAGGAAACTCCTCAATTGAGGTACGTCAGGAATTGAGCCCAACGGGGGGCTCGAACCCCCAACCTTGAGATTAAGAGTCTCACGCTCTACCGATTGAGCTAGCCGGGCAGGCAGGGTTGCTTTTTGTTGGCTGTCGAGCTCGAATGGTGGGTACATATAGTTTGCCACATTTCACGATCTAAGAACAGCGAATTGGAATCCTCAAATCAACCCAAACTATAGATGGCTTATGATTTATGGGAGGCATAGGGCTTGCTACCACAGTTGCCGATTGTAAATCGCGCAAAGCTTCCTTACTGATATGCTTTGCTCGACTCTCTACGCGTCATATCGCAAGACAGCCACATGCCAGGCTGCTTTAGGCTACACGGGGGTATGTAAGGAAAAAGTCTGTCACCGTGAATTTCGCAAGCGTCTGTCAATTGCTACGAAAAAGGCCCAAGAACGAGACCTGCATTCTCTCTACGCTCATAGAGATGCGTCAAAACAAAATCTACTCGTCGACATTCGGGTCAAACTCGGGAACAGCATCACCAGCTGCCTCGCAAGCTTGCCTGCAAACTCATCATCCAACTTTGGTCCAACTCCGCCGCTGAAAGCTCCAAGCATGGTTTGGCGCAACCCTTCGTTAGGCCAGCTGAGCCATCCGACGAGCGGGCTCTTGTAGAATGAGCCTGAGAAGTTTTCGACGCCGCCAATGTCGGCGTCGTTGGCAAAGCGGAAGCAGTGAGTGCCGGCACTGTCCTTGTGGTAGACCATCTGCGGGCTCGTGCCGTCGGCAGGGAACTCATTCGATGCACCGCCGTAGCCGCCGTGGCAAGATGGCGCAACACGTACAATAGTGTCTCCGCGTGCGAAGACGACTACGTTTTCCCAATCATGACGGTGACCGCCCGCAAACGAACCGCTGACCGACTGGTCCTTTTCAAAGTAATACTCGTACCTACTATTGTCAGTTGTGTTTCAAGAAGGGGCACTTTCGTAGAAGATTGTGTAGCCTTACATGATAGCGCAGACGCCGTTGTTGCAGCGGCGCCGGGAGTAAACATTGCTGTTCTCGAGCTGAGGAGGGTCGCGGCAGTCGCCCTGAGGAGTGCCGGTGGCGCCCTTGCCAGGGTTGGTGTTACCGTCAGGGTCAATGGCCGCTGTGTTGTAGCAGCCGTCTGTATCGAAGTCAAGAATTGGCTGGAACTTGTTCTCGATCTCGTCGGCGTTTCCTGGGAGGGCGGTGATAATGTCACGCCTCAGAATGGGCGCAGGAGAAGCATTGACGACTGACAGGGCGCCAAGCAGGGCGGCTGTTGAGAAGAGAGTGTGCTGCATATTGTATATTGTAGGTGGGTTATGATAGGGATGTTGGTGTTGTTCAAGTCTAGAAACAGGAGTGAAGAGGATGTCTGTGTTGGATCTTGATTGAAAACTTGTAACAGCAGCGGCGTGCTACTTATAGCTTTTTGAATCGATGATGGGAGGTCTGCCCCCATGTCAATTCCAGCTATTGGTGCCTGACATCGTGTCTGTCTACGTACTCTCTACCCATGATGATAGTCAGGCAACCTTTGGATGAGCGTTGGTTCTGATACCCTGCTTGTGCGTACAGCTAGCTTTTTTCCTCGTCATGCGAAGCCTGACTGTCTCCTCTCCGCGCCTATTACTCTATCCCTTCGTCTGCCATTGCCTCCAATGTGTTTCTGTAACTTCACGATCAGAATGAACCTCATACTATCATGAGATGCCCTCATACATGCCTTGACAGGCGCACATGGGTGAACGTGCCTTCATCGAGATGCTTACGAGGATGATGATGTCAAGACAATCCACATTCAGGCCAGCATCGAAAATGACCCACGATGAAGGCTGAGGCCGTAAAAACCAAGGCACACAACCCGTTTTCTCCTTGTCTCAGTGATTGTCGCACACGGGACCTCCACCTTCTGCCGCGTGGGGGCGTTTGGAGGAATGAGCGCGGGACGTGCCGATCCCCCTTAACTGAGAAGCTCGAATTAGGCACCCGAGGTACCGTGAGTGGCCATGAATGGACGCTTGGCCATCTTAGTGCCCGGGTGGGCTGCTGATCAACACTGGGAAGGGTCAGGTCTTGGACCGAAGGATCATGGTTTGGACGGTGCCGATCGTGTAGGAATTGGTTTCTACGCGAAGGAATTAAACCCACGTCATTCGAACTCGGCTTTTGACAAACTGATGTTGCCAAGGCTCATCTCTAGAACCCATTCGAAGCTGAAATGTCGAGTCTGATCAGCATCATGCCATATAACAAACCGACAAGGCGACCATGTGACAAGGTCACATAGCCCCCGCTAGGTTAATAGGTAGAGCTTCCTGAGTAAGACCTCTCAGGTTACCGAACCGTAAAAAAGCTTGGTGTATAACAAAACCTGATAAAACAAGATATGGTCAGCGAGCTGCCAAGACTACCGCCCGCACTTCCCGCCCCTAGCCTGGAGTATTTCACGATGGCGTTGGAGAAGTGAAATCGAAGGTTCGAAAGGCAAGCTGGTGACGCGGAGACTTCGGGTGGCATCCATGGAATACTACGGTAGATCGCGTCAAAATGCCTCTAGCAGCTTGGCTGACGTCTAACAAGCCTAAAGATACGGTGCATGATACCTCAAACTCTTGCTTTCAAAGCTCATTGACCCTATGTCGTGGTAAGACCTGCATAGACGAACACTCATTACACCAAAAATAGGTATCAGGCCGCTCGGTCCAACACACATGCAGATCTTCGTGGTTGACGATCGGTTTAGTGAAGTGATACTGCGATATCGATGCATTTTCGATCTCTGGGGTCGTGAGGTGAGGGCGGAGACGTGATGCGGCTCGAAATATGCTTAGTAGGCACCCATTGATACTCGAAGAGAACGGTCAGACGTCATTTCACCTTGAAAGAGCCGATTTCGGGCCCATTCATTGAGATGCAAAGTTCTCTCTTGGAGCATATTCAGTTGTGAACTCGCATGCAGTCCTTCCATCCTTGCGATGAGGATTTTGCTTTGAATCCTGTGAATCCTTCAACTAGCTTACCTACCTAGCCTTCCCGGCACTTGGACAGCCGGCGAGTATCCGGACCCATAGCGCTCCGTCAAAGTCTGCCGATCATGACGAAGACCCATGCTCATTTTGATTGTCGTGTGCTCAAGCTCCCTATGCATTCCTTACCTCGGACCCGAACTGGAGGTGTATGCCCACTCACCTGTTCAGCAAGTTGTGACACCACGGAGTCGAGGCGATTGGTCAGAGATGCTCAAAAGTCTTCCTCGTGATGTACTCTTGGCTCCTAAATTGACTCAATACTCAGGAATTTGGTCAGTAATATTGGCGGCTGGCAATCACGGTATTCCAGTACTTCGGTAGTAGTATCACTACCGCTGCTGAGGCTGCGGATACGTGCGGGAGAGATAGATGCCAGTGCATCGAGTGCCTCAAATAGTGAATAGTGTGGAGGATCAAACGAAGAAAAATGGATCGGATAGCAGGCCTTAAGAATGAATTCCATTCGTTGGAGTCAACCATTTTCGAATGTGAGGCAAAGTGACAGACACACTTCCACAAGAGGCCCGGCTGCCATTCGCGGGGTAGGCTTTCTGATAACTGCAGCACTTGACCATCTAAAGTGAATATCGCTTAAGCCTATTTCACGAACATCATTGATCAATCAGGCTACATGGGTGGCTATCAATCGTATGTCTCATTATTGCCATCTCTAAAATCTATATCATGCCAAGCAAATCTATGCACAATCAAGCGTCACCCTCACTGAACGCTTCGCAGGGGTCTTTCTACGTGCAGTGAACAAAGCCATCGTCGTGAGTGTGGCACGAAGCATCGGCGGTGGTGGTGCCGCTGGCATCGCTGGCGGCAGTAGTAGTCGGAGCAGCGGTGCTGGTGGCGGCGGCGGTGTCAATGATAGGCTTCTCGCCGGGGCAGCCGACGCCGGGGACGGCAATGTCATAGGCATAGGCCTCAATGGCGAAGTACTGAAGGGTGTCGCTGTCGATGATGGAGAGTTCAGGCTCAGTGGAGGCAAGCTTGAGGGCTTCGGCGTAGTCCTCAGCGTAGTGGTCAATGATGCCGTCGCTGATGCCGGGCAGGTGGAAGGCGCGGTGCAGAAGGTCGGTGGCCCAGTAGGTGTTGAGCTTGGACTCGGCCACGGTATAACCTCCACCGCAGAGAGCAGCAAGAGGGCGGCGGATCTCGTAGGAGAGGTCGCAGATGACCGTCTCCTGGGTGGCATTCGAGCCACGCCAGTGGCCGGCCCAACCATCCTGGGTAGCGCAGTTACGATCAGGGTCGTCGCAGCGGAAGAGCATCTCGGACTTGTCAGTCGAGACGACCTTGGAGTACCAGCCGATGGGGCCGGCAACGGACTGGTTGCCGAAGAACTTCGTCGCCAGCTCAGACTTGGGGTTGTGGAGAAGATGATCGCGGGCGTGAGCCGCAATGGTCATGGTCTCGGCGAGAGCAGCCTCAAGCTGAGTACGCAGGGTGATGTTGCAAGACTGGTGGATGGGGAAGCTGGCCTTCCAGCCTTCAGCCCAGTTGTAGGTGGAGCTGGTAGGGCCGGCAGGGGCAGTGTCCACTGTGACGGTGACACTGGTCTCAGCAGCGCGTGCCACGGGAGAGGCAGCGGCGAGAGGGAGGAGCAGCAGGGCTGCGGTCTGGAGAGAAAGCATCTTGGCGAGAAGTCTGGTGACGGCGGGTCCCGAAGATTGGAGATCGTGGAAGAGTTTGGGCTCAGGTTGACAAGATCTGAGGTTGACCACAGGAAGATGAGCTGTGCTGAGGAACTTGACTGAGCTTGAGCTTCGACACTACCGCTCACCTCAGAAGCCTCAGAGCTCAAGTCTTTATAGTCCTTGTCAGCTTGATATCTCGGTCTTTTCCGTCGCCTGCTCAACAAGGGCCAGTCAAAGTCTGCACGCCAACGAGCAACACCCCACGCTTTGTGACGACATGACAAGAGGCCACCCCGGCAGAGTCTCCGGATTACGGCGTGGCGGCCATGAGGCGACAGTCGATTCTTTCCTAGACTGGCACTTGAGCGGTGAAAAATGGTCCAGCCAGCAAAGGTCGTCCAATGCTGCGCTGCTACCGAGGCGATGCCAAGGCAAGCGTCACCTTGATGACCTGTTAAGCTTGAATTAAGCACCGCTTCTAGTGGCTTACACCCCACCCCGTTCAGGGATCTGGCTGTTTGGACTAACGGCTTCGGGTATGATGAGGTGGTTGGGGTCGTGGTTGAACGGGGTGGCGCCGGCCATCCGGGTTCTCAGGACCATCGGACTCGGGGACAAGTGGAGGTTTTCGGTGGGCCCGATGCCGGCCATCAAGGTCCTCGCCGGAAATCCCTCGCTCGACTTCAGCCGACAGACCCTTCACCAGGGTCACGATGGTTCAGGTAGGAACATGTCGTGACTTTATCGAGTCCGCAAGCGTGGTTGCAGCTGTGAAACTCTCTGCTGAGGTGGATCGAGGGAAGCCCTTCTCGGCTGTCGACTTCAGCCGGCACAACAAAGTACCCGATTTTGGTCATAAAAAAAGCGCTTGTTTCTTCGCTGTAATACTGCTTCGTTCCTATTCCCTCGTAGTAATATCGTCAAGAGATCTTCAGGACATCTAGTCACTCTCGCTCATCCAAGAGTCTCATTCGCGACACTGCTTGAATGGTGACTTCTGATCGAGACGCCGGAGCCTGTATTGTACTCTTTTATTAGCTACATTCAGTTCTGCGAACAGGGATCGTGTGAAGATAGGGGGGGATTAGCAAGACCTTTTCATAATGTTAACCAACGGTCGAAGCCAGCATTCTACTTCGCCTCGGACAGGAGTATATCGAGGCATCACGAGGCCAGGAAGACTTGATAGTCGCAATGAAAGATGTAAGAGATGACTGGGAGGCCAGTGAAAGTGAGGGGCAGTGCCTGTTCAAATAGTAGAAACCAATACAAGCCACATCATCACTGCATAGCCTGACATGCCTCCTGCATGAGTCTATCTTTGGGGAGACGGAACGGGACGTACTCTCCCTTTCAAGTGCATGATTGTTTCAAATCACAGGACTCTTGCATTGACAACCAGAGCCACCCCAGGGTAAGCGGATCATCAGTCTCAGGGGTAATGCGCCACGAGGCTATAAATCGCTGAGAGGCCTTCTTGAGATCGGTCCATCCTTTACCCGACGTTGATAATGCGACGGCATGGTTATGCCACGTTTATACACACTTGGGTACTGGGCGGTGATCGTCTTGGAAGGCCGGTCAATGTCGCGCTTGTCAGGTTTCAAATATCCTTCCACTGACGTGCAGAATAGCTTGTCCTGGTTATGAAGACATGCCGGATCCAGCATTTTTTTGGTCTGAAGGCTATTTGAGTATTCGGAGAAGATTCGAGGAGGAGTGGAGTATTGATCCGAGATCGATATACTGCTCACATCGTAGCTATTGTTTTCTTACCCCGTCCTTTAGGCAGATAATTCCACTTTATGATTCCCACACCGTGCTCAGCAGTGATTGTACCATGATTTCGATTGCGCGGAGAACCATGAGCTGTATCACATCTTTCATATATGCCTACTGGTTTTCATCACAATGAATAATGTCTGCCAGTGTCAGTCAGTGCCATTGGTGTTTAGTAATCTTCTTGATGGTAGTGGATTGCAGAACCCCGCACCACGAAGGTTCAGTGATGTAAATCTTGCGATCTGTATATATATTCATAAGCTGTCTGCGTTCTCCTCACAATCACTTAGTCTGCGACTCACTGCTCCCTCGATCATGTTGTCGTGGGCCTACGTGATCACCGACATAGACCAACCCCATATCGGTTCAAAAGGTGATTCGAATGACTTTTCATTGCTTACGCCTTTCTGGTTGAAGAAACGCTTCTAGGCTTCGTCTAGAAGGTCATTGCTCGCAACCCCAATGCTTGATGAATGTCACGAGCCCTAATACACATTGGACCGCTTCAGAAACTCTGGGAAAAGTTGCTACATCTCTGGCCTCTGAACGTACTATAGCTCCGAGGGTCGCCTCCGTGGCCAAGCAGGAACCCTCAGATGGGGAGTAGGCATTTGTTGAAAGCCCTTCACATCTGTGCTTCTAGTCAATTTGAGCATCCAGTTCTTCCAATGTCTGCCATCATACCAAGCTAAGTTCAAGAGAGTAAGATAACCTGTATTCATGCAGTAAGCATCAGGAGCGTTATTATTTGAGGTCCTCACGGCATGCTATATACACAGTGCTTGCAGAATGTCATAGCACCTCGCTTCTTATCATTTCGGTCTCAAGTAACCATCGCGCTATGAAAGAGCACTCTCGCTCGTGAGGGGCCGGAACTTCTCTATCAGAAGAAACGACATCAGACCAATGGACCGGTTCGTCGAAGTGAAAATCAGTCTCGTAAAACGGAAGCTGATTGACGGGATATCAGTAGGATCAGACGACTTGAAGCAGACATAGCTAAGGTGAAACCTTTGGGCTGCATGTAGGCAATTGCACATACACTACCTGGGGCCCGCAGCAGTTGGGCATGCCAAAGCAGGGACCCCCAAGGGCAAAAGCGCCGTATCAGGCATGGACATTGGGGTCAAGTATTTCGGTGGTCGTTCATAGAAGGCCATTCTGGAATACATTGCGGTTGTTATCATCGTTGACAAGTCCAAGAACGCCGGCTTCATCATTCTCAGTCATGTATTCACCGACTCAAGGGAGACCCTCAATGACCTTTTTGTCGAATTTTCTAATCTCTACAACAGAGCCAACATAAGAGTTCTTGAAGATCTATGGACTGTTTAAAGTACCGGCAGAAGCAGCGACCCACCGGCTGGCCCTGAAGCCTCGAAGAGTGCCTTTGTTGTCTTTGATCCAGCGAGGATCAGCCTTATAGACGGCCTCGCCCTTAGGAACCTCGAAAGCACTTGCGACGAGAGTCTTTCCCTTAGTGTCAAAGAGAAAATTCGTAACAAGGCTCTAAGGGGGGGGGGGGTAATTAAGGGTGTCACGAATGTAGCTGTTCGGACCCGGACGGCGCTCCGCACATTCCACCTGCAGACTGATGCGTCTACTAGTCGCTCACTTCCATTGCCTTCCCAGTAAAAGGCTCGGCATTTTTTTTTGTATTTTGACCAGTAGCATTGACGAGGGCATGCATGAGGCGCAACATGTTGGGCTTGTTGGTCCACAAGTCGTCGCGGGAGCTAATCTCGAGCAAGTCATATAGCTTCGTGCAGAAACCTACCAGCCGGCTGTATCCGGCCCCGCTCATGCTTGTCGGTCGCCGTCTGCTACCTTGATATATAGCCATATCATCGAAGCACGGCGGTGCTTTTTCAGCGCCAGTACGATAGACGTGAACTTTGGACCCATCCACACCGGCTTCTCGTACACCTCTGGCACCAACAGCACCCAGTACGCGCATGTCCAGGCTACCTCAGCATACTCCACCACTACCAGCTTCATTAAGAGCACGTATCCAACCATACATCTATCCCATATCTTCCCAGGCATGCAGAAACACGGCCTCGACGGTTCAGCGGTCGCCGAAAAACGTTCCGGCCACGTCGTGTAACGTATGTTGGACGAATATATTGCTGCCAATGTAACGTGCGTCATTGAATACCGCAATATTGTCCCAACAATGCGTTGCGCTTCTTGGTGCATTACCCCCCAATCGCCGACGAGTTTAATGCAGACGGGCGCGCGTGGATGTTGGCACGTACACACCTCGCGCACTGCTGCCGCCGCCTGCATCGCTCTCGAGATGCAAAGAGAGCCCTGGGACTGAAGCCTTGGTGCCAGCTTCAAGGCCGACTTGGGCCAGCAAAGACTGTGTCATAAAGAAAAATAGCATGTGCCCCTAACAACAGAACTACTTATTATGGAGCATAATTGTGCTGCAACTCATTATCTCTTATGACCGAGAAGGCAGTGTGTTGCTAAACCTGGCTACGCCATGTAACGCAAGCTCGGCATTCGCGTGCTCCTGACACCTGGGTCTCCGCCGACAAATTCGAAGCTCCAAACAATCCTCGTCGCACATCGCACGTGGACCCCAAGTATAATTCAGATTAAAACGGCTCTTTGACTAAGGGGTGTTTCAACTCCGTACATCCGTACTCCGCTTTGGAGCGCAAGTGAACACGATACGCTGATGCCTACCCGAGTAAGCCGGCATCCCTGCGTCACCCAAGGGCGCTGATTACAGCGGCAGTGGTCATGCCGTTGTGCAGTACAATTGCCTCTTGCTGACCTGTTCTATTCAATACGCCTTGCATTTTATGGCGATCAAGCATCCAGGGCAATGCGGGAAGACGTTCATCGACCTTTCTTGGCATTTGAAACTTCAGATGACTCGAATCCTCATGATCATCTGATGGGCCCGTGCCCTCACTGATATTCATTCATCTGGACTGCTTCCCGTTGACAATATGCTCGTCGTCTTGTCTGGGCCCTCTTCATTCCATCTCATTGATCTCGCAAGACCCTGGTGGTCACTTGCTTCGTTGTGGCCCCTTTTTAACTTTCATCTTCGTCCGGTTACGTGATTCATTCACTTGTCAATTATTCACTTCACAATGTTGTCGTCAATTGCTCTCGCTTCAGCCATCCTGGCCACCACCATCTCGGGCCACGGCAACCTCGTCACACCTCCTCCTCGTGTGCCTGGCCCAGCCATGGTGGTAGCCTGCGGCCAGCAGAACGTTGACTCTGTGCTGGCAGACTCCGGCATCCCGCTAGAGAATTTCCGCAATGTCCCCGCAACCTGTACGTTCTTCAATTAATTGTTCTAGTGGCTCAGGAAGAAGAATAACACCGCAGGCCAACTCGATTTGTGTCGCGGCGCCACATTCACAGACAATACGGACCGTGTTCAGACGTTCGCCGCCGGTCAGGTCGTACCGATCACGGCCGAGATTCCTATCCCCCACGAGGGACCCTGCAATGTTTCCCTTGTCGACACAGCATCCAACACCGTTATTGGTCTACCTCTCATCTTGTTCCAGAGCTACGCAGACGAGAATCTCGCTCAGCTCCCTCCAAACAACACGGCGTTCGAAGTCACTATTCCTCAGCTGCAGCCTGGGCAGTGCACACAAGCAGGCGAGTGTACGATGCAGTGGTTCTGGTTCGGTACCAACGCTCAGCAGACGTATGAGAGCTGCGTCGACTTTGTGTTGACTTGAGTTTCGTAGGAGGAAATGACTGTTGCTGTTGTGTTGTATAACTCAAGGATATTCATAGTCTGGTTGTACGCCAGTGAGGAAAGGATACTGCTAAATTAAACACACGAAAGGTTAGCTGACGAACGAGCGAACAACATCGAACCGATCTGTCACTTGCTAAACTATTGCCGCCGGTTCTTTTCCCACAATTGAACTTTAACATTCTTTACATGAGAAATTTAAATATATTATGAGATCCAATTGTTACTTTGTCACGAATGTATCAAATCCTGAATTGTCATGAACAGTACACTCTTTACTACTGTCCAATATCAGCCCTCTTTCATTGTCCAAATCAGCTGGTGTGGCCGTTTACAGCCCAATTGAAGCAATCAGTCGAGACAGAATACCGCCGAGCTCGGCAATCACGGTAGAAAGGCCAGTGATGCCAACGGCAAGGCTAGCCCTCGCAGCCTTGGCAGCCTCACCGAAGGTCGTCAGAGGTGTGACGAAGGGCTGGATGGCCGCCTTGACAGCATCGACCTCGCTCTGAATAGCGCTCTTGAGGGCAGGAGTAAGGTCCGTGGCGGTCAGACGCACTGTGGCGCCGATATCGCGGAGGATACGCTGCGCAGCAGCAATGGCATCACGAACTTCGTTGATTTGTGCCTGAGTAAGATCCTTGAGATCCCCTCCGATAGCACCACCGGCGCCTGTGGTCCCCTTAACAATGTCATCGGTGGCCTTCTTCAGTGCGTCGGCGATGCCCTGGATGTTGGTCTTTAGAACAACCTCAACCTGGGCTTCCACATTATTCTTAACCTCGGCGACGGCATCCTCTGTGATGGCAAGGTCAGTCACTTCACAAGCTTCAAGGACAAATTTTTACCTACGGATAGCCTGGATGTTGCCCTTTGTGGCGCTATCGAGCGTCGCGACAGCATTCTTCACGGTACCAATCGCCGTGTTCTGGCGGGCCTGCAGAGCAGGTGCGGCCGAAGCGAAGGAGACGAGAGAGAGGATGCTCAGGAACTTCATTTTGAGTGAATATTTTGGAAGTAGCCTGGGAATAGACTAAGATGGTGTTATTGATATTCGGTGTACGGCTGTGGAAGAGAGATGTGTGAGTGCTGATGCAGTTCAAAGGTGTTACTTGGGGGTTCGAGGACGCAGTATATATACACGAGACGAAGGCCATGTCGCCTCGTCCTTGTCTACATGCTACCTCCAAATCCAACATCTCATGTCCATTCCACTATGCACAAGCACGCACATTCCGTTTTCGTGCCACGGGACTGTCATGATCCGGCTCTGCTGAACGTCAAGACGACCGGCCATCATTAAGACCTGAGAATGATCCAGACCTAATCTCAACATGACACGCGAATCATCAGCCACGCTTCGCGGGTGGCTTCCTGTAGAGCAGCCCAAAGGCGCCAAGCTTTGAAATTCAGGAAGAAAAGCCCTGGGCCTAGATTCGGAACGACGAGGAGGCCGCGCGACGGACACGCGCTACGTGCTTCCCAAGGGGTGTGTCAGTTTTGAGTTGCGGGGCCGTTGTCTGGTGTTCCAGTTGACGCTCAGCTTGACCAGGCATCTTGAAAGGCATGTTCTCGGTATCTTCCGCATCAGACACATTGCATCAGGCCTTGTTTGTGTCCCAAGGGTTGACCCTCAGTCTGCCGGCGGTGAACTTGTTCGTGACATGTTGAGCACAATGTCTCTGACCAAGCATCATTCCACCAGTCAAAGCCACGCTGTCACGAGGACCTGGGCAGAGCACGATCTTCACGAACGCCTGTCAGATGTGTCTAGGCCCGTGGCAAGGCTGATGAAAGTGGCTTGTGGTTGTTGAGACACTAGAGCATCCCCGCCCGCGACCCGCGGCTAGAGTCATGGATGAAAACGGGAGGTCTAGGCTCGATCGTGCATTCATGTCTCATCTGCCTCGCTCGTTCCGTGCCACCTGCGGCCTGCCGTTGAGACTCGTGGAGATGGAAATGAGGAACTGAGGAGCGCAGCGCAACTGGCTGACCGCCACCGTATTGAGTGCTTGGGCCTCCTCTCGATCTAGCTCGCGAGGTTGACATCGCGGACAATCCCGATCCGCGCTACCTCTGCAAGCGGCCGCTGTCAAAGCCATTCACGACTGAAGCCATGCTCATGCTCATTCCGCCACCTCATTGCAGTGTGTTCGTCGAGGTTTGACAGAGGGGACGCATGGGAGGGACATGTCTCAGCCAGAGCGCGCCGAGAACCTCTTGATGCGAAGATCGAGAACTTGCTAAGGAACTCCGTCACCTTGGCAATCCTCGGCCCTCGTCGAGAACACACGGCGACCCGGGCCCAGGCGAAGTTTGAGAGCACGCAAGATGTCTTCATGGGGGCAGATCTCGGTCCGGCGGCTAGAGAGCTGTAGCCAAGAACTCTACGTCTTAGGCATCCATCAATAGTCGCCACCCACCGCGCCCCTTCACAAGGTCCGGATGGTTTGTTCTCCCTCGAATGCGAGCAATGCTATTGTCATCAGCGTTCCAGGCCCCTATCAGTCATTCTCATGTTCGCATGACGGTAGGTCAACTTGAACTTTGGTGATCGTGAGGCCCTGGCAGCCAGGTGAGGAGTCCTTCGGCACGAAGCCATTGGTCATGCCCATGCTCTACGGTGTTCTTCGATATGGAAGATCTGACGCCGGCAAATGAACGTTCCTCCTCTCAATTTGCAGGCTCTCGATTGCCACGATGAGCATGGAGATCCAGTCCAATCACAGAGGAGGCGCTGAATGTCCGAGCCTGTCGCAGACATTCCTTCGCAAAGACAACCCCATGTTGATCAAATGCCGTCTTGAAGATTATCCCTTCTTGCTCCGCTTAGGAGATCGACAATCACTCGGGCAGCACTTGGCTCGATCCTTAGATGACGCCTCACACTTGTCTGACGTGGATGAAGAAGTGTCTACATAGTGGCGTGCAACAAGCTTCAACGGCAGACGCCATGGCAACCTCATAAAGTGTCGTGTGATAGGTCTTCAAATCATTTTCTAATGGTTCACGGCATGTTCGCTCCGACTCGAATGCTCCGTTGGCGAAACTTGCGCTTGCCGATCAGCCAGGTCATTGCCAAGCATCGACAAAGACGTCTTCAATCAGTCGTATTATTTCGTAAAGTAATGGGTGCGTGACATCGTTTTCGTGCCTCCATTCTTCCCTCTGCCGAGACGCCAGTGCTGTCATGAGGATTCTGGCGTCGCCACCACTTGTTCCACCTTCTTCACACGTTTTCCCTCAAGACCTCCCATAACGCCAGCAGCAATCGACACGCCAAAGGCCGAGCAGAGGAACAGAGGCACAGCCCACTGCGGCCGCGTATGTCTGTTGTAGCCCCACATGAACCCTGACAGCACAGCCTGGAAGACGGTATTCATGACGTTCAATCCAATGATGGTTGCCAGCTTCCACAGCGCCGTCGGCGACGCGCGCAGCCCGGAGTAGGGCGCATCCGGGATAGACCGGGCGGGATGGGGTACCACCGCCAGTGCACCGCCCTTGGAGAGCCAATCGTCGACTTCGTCGGGCCCGAGATCGCCGGGGAGCTCCTGCGAGCCGGGCAGGCGAAACCACGAGCGGTAGGAGGCGGCGAGGCGGCGCAGGGCCAAGGGGTCGTGGGCGAAGTGGTGTTGGATGAGACGCCAGGCGTCGCGGGCGCGCTGGGGCGCCAGGCCAAATGCCATGACGCAGAAGAGGGCGTTCAGAATCTGGGAGTCGATCTCTATCCATATGCGGCGCGGCGAGTTGATGTCGTTGCAAGTCGGGTGGCACATGGCGGGCGCGGCGTTGCAGAGCAGCAAGAAGATCATGCCGCCCCACGCCACAACGTTGAGACAGTAGATTATGATGATGACTTTGACCAGCGTCATGTCGCGCAGCCAGGCGGTCGCCGTCTGCATCATGGTCGGTGGTGGTCGTCGCGAGCCAGATGGTCTGCCGGGCTCAGTTACGGCTGGCTGCAGGGCCTCGTAGGCTGTGTTCTCTTGCCATGGTAGCAGCTCGCTTGGTTTCTGATTCATCGTCATAGCAGCTGTCTTGTTGGCATTCTGATCGGTCTTCTACTCGGATTGGGGGACGCTGGATACAGCTCTCGTCGTCGGTATTCTGGTTGGTGTTGCAATTGCGTAGGTACACGCGGCTTGGGCCGCTGTTGGCTGGGCAAGTGGCGATCAACTCAAAGTCATACCTTTATGCAAATTGCGGGCGTCACCCGTCTTAAACGATATTTCAGGAGTCGAATCAGCAGGGTTCATGTGATGACCAGTTTTCAAACGCCCCTCGGGCTTGGCCGTCTACTCCAACGCGTACACGCTCGCATTCCTCGTACCCCTCGGTCCCCAGCCAGATTAACTCACAGGGATAGATGCGCGGGGTGGCCATAGCGTCGAATTACGACTCGCTAGAACCGAGAGTGAGCGACGGGGCGCCCGAGGAAGCGAGAGTGCGGGTAGCGTACTAGTGAGAGCGCGCGGCACTTGAAGGTCTAGCCAGGGCCAGGGCCGCCGGCTGGCGGTGCAGGTAACCTAGCCCTCTATGTTGCTGGACGCTTTTGAGGCTGCTGGGAGCTGACCATCTGCTCTCTTGAAGGTATCTTGACAACGTCAATGCTTTGCGATAGATCCCACAGCGGAAAAATATTTACGTTCTGCATTACCTTCATTCTGTCAAGCAGTCGTTCTGGATACCAGCCCCTCAGAATACTAACGTATTTATATATCTTGTTCCCCATGGGCCTCCGTCTTCTATCGATTGCATCTCGTGTTGGTCTGTAGTCGTTTTGGTGTGTAGTTGCGCGCTCTACCAAAATCAATTCGGCCCTTAGACGCATGGCCTATTGAAATCTTTAATTTCTCCCACACGGAGTACGAGCTCATATAAAGGACACTGATGTCTGAGGTTGGGTTTAAGTCAAGAACATGTATATCGTATGAGTATTCGCGCGGCATTCTCGGGTCGTCAGCAAAGAATGAATAGGGCGGACGGCCGCGCTGGTAGGTGAATGACCTACCCCCCTGATTGTGAGTCTGCCTCAGCCCAGCGTCAACTGCCCGGCACCCAGAAGGCCCGCCTGGGAGCACATCACGAGATCGTTGATCATTCAGTCTCGTGGAGAGATACAACTCATGAACATTCAGACTGCCCTCAGGTGTAGGCATCTCGCAATGCCTGCCTCTTGAGGCTAACATATCGGGTGAAAACACTTTCCACTGTCTTTGCCGGTCACGCTGATGGCCAACGACGAAGACTGACCAGCATCAGCCGAGAATTATGATTCAGCGTGGTGTCAAACCCTCAATCTGGCGCTTACAGGCCCAACGGCCAAACGGCCACGTTGATGGCGCAGGGTGTCATTCGGCTAAGGGTTTTACCTACTATCCGCGAGCCTGGAATCGCGGTGTCTAACCCCTGAGTTGCGCTGGAGCAGGACCACTGAAATTGAAAGGCGAAAAGGCGCGCACCAGCTCAATGTCCGCCTGAAGCAATCCGATAAACGTTGTTTGTGTTGAGGTAGACGACTGAGCCGCGTCGTCGTCGGTCTCGCCAGCATGGAAACAGGCGCACAAACCTTAACTGCTCGGCTTCTTTGACGGCTATTAATTGTTGAAAATCCCATGATTCATCCTCCTGCACATTTGCTGGTGTGGCCCTCTGCCAGGATCGCCAAGATCGTCTGCTTACCGCTCCTCGTTCTCTCGCGATCACTTCACCTTTCGCGCTGCATCCTTGGCAGGACAAGATGCTTGCGGCGTCAGGACTGCTTAAGCCGATACTTCCGGTCGCGATACTTCTGGCATGCTTTTGGTGGGGTTTCCAGTTATTTCAATGGAATCCTGTAAGCCTTTGCTCAACGAATCCATATCTATCACAGCCATGTGTGAGCGACGGTCGATGGTCTGGGTACTGAAACTGATCCTCGCCCACAGGTGACGGCACCTCCATCTAGCACACGACATCCCGCGAATGATCATACCGCTGCAACACGCCCAGATCGGCCACTGATCCTGTACGCCTATGCAGAATCCGCTACGGCGCGTGAGAACCTTGATTTCTTCCTCCGCAAAGGTCTTCACGATGCGGCCGACTTTGTATTCATCTTCAATGGCGAGACGAATGCCTCCCAACTCGTGCCCGATGCATCCAACATTGAGATCGTCGAGCGCTCCAACACGTGCTTTGACCTCGGTGCCTATGGGGAGGTTCTACGGAAAGACGACCTTTGGACAAAATACAAGCGCTTCATTCTGCTGAATGCTAGCATACGGGGGCCATTTCTGCCGACGTGGAGCTCGAGCTGCTGGTCGGATCTGTTCCTCGATAGGCTGACTGCGAAGAAGAAGGTATGGAAACCCTCAAGTCCAAATGCAAAAACCCTGCGTACTGATGACCGTGCAGCTCATTGGCATGACGTTGAACTGCCAACCGAGAATGCATATTCAGTCCATGATCATGGCCACCGACACGATTGGCATGTACAGCTTGCTCGACCCAGTCCTCGCGGCCTCAGCTTCTGTTGCCGATCAATTCGGCACTGCAGATGATCCTATAGGGCTGAGCGGCTGCTATCGCGACTGGAACGCCGCTGTGCATGCAGAGGTAGGCACCACAAGCCTCATCACCTCCGCAGGGTATGAAGTTGATGCCCTCATGACGGCGTTGCATTCGGAAAGGAGCGCAGAGGAATACTGCAAGGCCCATCCTGATTCGGGCGACTTATTATGGGACAAGAAGTACTTCGGGGGTAACATACATCCCTACGAGACAGTCTTTGCCAAGACAAACAGGAACGTTGACAAGGAGTTTATGGCAGCCTTGACGGAGTTTCACCTGCGGTCGGAGATCACGAGCTACACAGCATGTAGTTCATGATTTCTGCCGATGAATTTTGACATACAACTTCCATGATTCATGAGAAAGCCAGTACACCAAGACGAGTTGATCTTCGTTGGCAGCTTGAGATTACTTATTTTACCGTGCAACGCTGCTTTCGTTGTTGTCACAAAGATGACCGAGGCACCTGATTGCCCCATTCGCTAAAGGGAGACAATGGGCACGCCAAGGCTGGTGTAGTAGCCATTTTCGGCGACAAAGAAACCGGGAGAACAGGGTTGCCACCAGTCTCGAAGGACCTTGACTATCGGTATACAAATAGCTTTGGTGGTCCGAGGTCTTTCGGTGGTCAAACGTGAAGAAAGTGATGCCCTTTTATTCCGTATGTGAAAGGCCCCAGGACGGCAAAGCACCATCAGAAGTGGAAAACAAACAGTGATATCCACTTTGAGGCCTATCATCACCCTTCTCCTTAAATGCCAACACTGACGATCACGATCACCATTCGATACCTTAAGGCACTTCCTTTTTTTTCTCGTATCAATACAACGCTGCTTGCCTTTTTGCCAGCTCACTTCATCACCATTTCATCATAATTCTCTAGGGGCTCGATAGTCATGGAGACGACTCGCCAATACACAGCAGCCAAAGACAGATGCGTCGACTTCCAGCTTTTTCCACAGCTTCCATCAGAAGTTAGAAACATGATATGGGAATGCGCATACTTTCACGAATCCCCAAGAGTGTTTGAGTGGCGTTCGCAGTACCATCTTGAAAGCGAGGAGCCCCTTTCCTTTTGCCTTTCAATTTGCTGCATCTGTCCCTCGGTGGCCACCCGGCCCAAAGTTCAACAAGCTTGCTTCAGCGCACGTCAGGTTGCTGGGAGGCACCTGCGAGAACTTAGAATACCAGCGGCCTGTGAATCAGTCATAGGCTCCGAGGAGAAGTCTCCAAGGGACACCTCGTGCGCTGAAATTCCATGGAAATACGATCCACAGGGATCGATGACTCGCTTGTTCGACATATCGAGGGATCTTATCTTCTTGCGGGAGTCGACGTTGTGTGCAATGGGCAGACTGGCAGCCCCTCCAGTGCCGGAGCTGCAAAATATCCAGCGACAACCTCTTTATGACACCGTTAGACTCGAAGCAATAAGCATGAGCGAAGCACCTCTCGTCGCGATTGAGATCCCGAAGTCATGGCATACGTATGGAGAAGACGACCTATGGGTCCCCATTCTGACCACTCTGCGTGGAGCGTTCAAGGGTTTGAAGAGAATCTACTTTGTAGCATCCGACATGTTTGATATCTCCTTCTGGAGAGACTTCGACTTGTCTTCGTGTCTATCATCCTGTCCTAGGCTCCTTTCTCGGGCGTATCTTCGATGCGGCGATCTAGCAGGTATCGACCATCAGAGTCTGGATGAGAGGCTCGGCAGGGCCAAACACTGCGTCTTTGGGGACGGAGAGGGTATTCAAATGTCTATCTTGATTCCTTTGGAGCGCGGAGATGGCTCGTTAGATTGGGTAGGGTGGAATTCTGGTGACGGCAACGTCGAGCAACCAGAGGCCCCTCGAAGGGGATTCTCGGAACCAGAATCACGAACGAGATGTGCGAGTGGCTCGAAACCCGAATATATATTGTAGATAGACATATTTCAGTAATGAACATGGATAAAGTATCAATAGAATTCCTATACCAACGTGATCGTCAGAGCTCTGCCGATCCTTTGTGCGCGAGCTTACATTCCCAACTAAGTGGTGAGACATGGGTTCTTAATCTACCCACAGCCAATCCAGAGACGTGCTAGCTCCATGGAAGAGTGAATTGTGTCGGGGCTCAGCACAGGATCGGTACGTAATACGCGCATATGTGAGGACTATGCAGTCAGCTTACCACAGGGCGACACTGCAAAACGCTTGGGAGAGCTAGCTACATTCAAGGTTGAAGGTTCCCCGCGATCTTAAACTTTCTAGTGGTCTGGGACACTCCTGATCTCATTTACCTAGAGGTATAAAAGATAAAAGCCACTGGCGTAATCTCGGTGGATTCTCTGTTATTTGCGCTTTCTGTCGAATTTTGTACGATCTATGCAACAGAGCTTCAGGCACTCAATCAACAGCTTCGCTATCTAACCACGAGATCTTTACTTCTTTGGAAGATGGGAGGAGTGGCTAAACAAGTACCAGATGGCCTGACGGAGGTGGACATCATCATTGCCGGAGGTACGCATTCTCTCATGTTCAAGATGACGCTCGCTAACGAACTAGGTGGCACCGCCGGCTGCGTCGTCGCCTCAAGACTCAGCGATGCAGACCCAATTTTGTCCATTCTCGTTGTCGAGTGCGGCCAGGATAAGCGCGATGACCCCACGGTCAACCACCCGATCTTTTCCTTTGGCCACATGGCCCCAGGCGGCAAGACGATGCTGAACTATCCGTCAAACAAGGAACCACGGACCGCCGACAGAGTCATCAACACAGCAACTGCCGGTCTCCTCGGTGGCGGGTCGGCAATCAACATGTCGACCTACCAGAGGCCGCAAAGGTTCGATTACGACTCCTGGAAGATGCCTGGTTGGTCCACGGATGAGCTGCTGCCATTCATGAAGAAGGCGAGATTACAAGTGTCCTTCCGCTTTTGGGACCAACATGGCTTACAAAAGGCAGATTGAGTCATATCACGGCCAGGGCTCCTCAGACACCCATGGGTATGACGGGCCTCTTGAAGTCACCAGCCCAGCATTCACCGTCACCAAGACGCAAAATGACTTCATCCAGGCAGCGAACCTGGTTGGGTACCCTGAAGTCAAGGATCTGCAGGACTTTGACTCCTGCAACGGTGTCCAGCGCAATTTGGCATACATCGGAAAGGACGGCAAACGCCAGGACGCAGCGCATAACTACTTGTATCCCCGGCTCGACGACGGAAAGCACCCTAACTTGCACGTTCTTGTAGAGCATCAGGTCTCACGGATCCTGTTCGAAGGCACGGCAGCATCTGGGGTCGAGATTCGTCCGAACCCACTCTTCCAACCTGACGGCAGTATGCAGACCATCAAGGCACGGAAGCTGGTGATCGCAGCTTCTGGTGCCATGGCGACGCCCTTGCTTCTCGAAAGATCCGGGCTCGGTGATCCGGAAATCCTAAGCAAGGTCGGAGTCGATGTTGTCGCTGACCTCCCTGGTGTGGGCACAAACTACCAAGACCATCAGCTGTCCATCTACGCTTACTACACCGGCTTGACGCCGGAAGAGACTGGCGACGCTCTGTTCGGGGGCCGAATCGATGTTGCTGAGGCCATTCAAGCAAAGGCGCCAATCCTCGGATGGCATCTCGCCGATTCAGTCTGCAAGGTCCGCCCGACGGACCAAGAAGTCGCAAGCCTGGGCTCCGAATTCCAGGAGGCGTGGGATAGGGACTTCAAGCCCAACAAGGAGAAGCCGATCGCTGTGTTCATCCCAGTAAACAGGTAAATCTACATACAGTACAGCTATTGCATGTCATATTCTTAACACACAGCAGTTACCCCGGTTTCCCTGAGGGGCTACCTGTTGGTCAATACTTTGGTGTCTCGACGTGGCCCACGTACCCCTATTCACGAGGTCAGGTGCACATTGCCAGCCCCAGCCTCGACGATGCTGTCGACTTCCGCCCTGGGTTTCTCACAGACGATCACGACATTGATCTAAAGAAGTCGATGTGGGCGTACAAGAAGCAGCGTGAGCTAATGAGGCGCACGAAGTTGTATAGGGGCGAGATTCAGAGCGCGCACCCCCCTTTCCCCGCCGGATCGGCAGCTGCATGTGCGCAGATCGACGAGCCACTGCAAGATGCAGAGAACATAGTCTACTCGGCAGAGGATGATGCCGTCCTCGAGAAGCACATCCGCGAAAATATTGGAGGGTGCTGGGATCAGATGGGTACTTGTAAGATGTCGGGGCGTGAAAACGGGCCGTGTTGACACATGCCTTAACGGTATGGCGTTCAGAGGTTGAAGAATGGCCAACCTGGAGATTTGCCCGGAAGAATTCGGGCGGGGAACTTGGCGAACGCGGCTTTCAAGATTGGAAGAGAAGGCTGCGAGTCTCATCTGTTGCCGATCTTCGGAGCAGACAGTG